AAGGGGTAGGGGGAGTGGTATGTGGTGGGGTGGTGGGGGTGGGGGGCGCTAGTGTATCCTCGTGAGGTCCTCCACGATCTTTATGAGGTCGTCGACAGTCGCGTCTCGCATCATGCCGCCGCCATCGTCGATCTACATACAAATAATATAAATACACATTCATGCAGTTACATATTCGATAATTTTACCGTTGGTTTCCGAGACCACAATCTCTAAATAAATCAAATCGTAATTCGTCTCATTATCTTTGACAAAACTTAGGTATCAATATCATATTTACCACAGGGATTTTAGTCTCAGAAAGCAACAATTACTTAAGCAATTTATCTGATGATGATTACACGTTCAGAAGCAGGTTTTAAAATAATAAAGTGTACTCGATGAGCGAGTAGCTGGCACATCGTGTGAAGTGACCCACACTGGATTTGTGCTCGGAACATCGTACGAGTCTCTGTGCAGGTCACGACGTTAGGAGTAGTTGGAGCACTGATCATTTTAAACGGATAAGCGATTGCTTGGTTTGATGTCAGCTTCAACTTCGTTCTTACTTAAACGTGCTTTTTATTCGTGACAGTTAATTCTATTTCTATTATTAGTTCGAATCCTTACGAGCGCTACCAACCGCGACCGTTAGGGTAAAATGGCGAGAATCGGATTGGCACAAAATATCATGATTTATAGCCTGTCCATTTATTGAAGTTAGTACGTAGTTGTTACGAGATACACAGTGTATACCTGTAGTCCCTGCACGGTGTCCTGCTGCATGTCGCGGCTGAGGTCGAGGAATGTCTCCACGAGGTCGCCGTCGATGAAGCCCTCCGCGGGCTCCGTCTTGATGTCCGTGTTGAAGGAGCGCCAGAAGGCGTGCGGCACTTTGCCCACAGACTTGATGGTGCGCGTCAGCCGCTCCTCCAGCTGGCGCAGGAACTCGAACAGCTGCTGCGACACTTGCACCACCAGGCCTGCACAACACATCACATTTCACGGTTTCGATTCACCTTCGGTGGACTTTTAGCACTAAAAACGGGTTTGTAAAATATCAAAGTTGTCAGTTAACAAGCACCTGATGGAATATAAGTATAGATAACTAGCTGTCGCCCGCGACTACGTTCGCGCTGAAATAATAATGGCAGATTATGCTTTACATTTGTGATGTATGAAGCCAAACATCTTCTGATACTATGTTGGGAATGGGAAAGTATGTATGGATGAAAGTAAGAGAAGTACATATGGCGCCGTGCACGGTGGCGAGCAGCACGGGGTTGTGTACGGGGGCGGCGGTGTCGGCGAGCGGGGCGACGGGGGCGACGAGCGCGCCGCGACGCATGGCGTTCACCGTGTCGCCCAGGTGCACCTGACCCGCGTACCCCATCTGCTGGCGCTCCTCGTCCGTCGTCGCCGCGCTGCAACACACATACAGACACCAATATCTTCAATTATTTATCAATTTGTATTACATTTTTGGTGCACTTTACGTCCGATAGGGGGCGCTGCATACACTTTCATAGAGGTTTTCTCGACGGCGATGCGATAGCGACTTTCGCAGATATTCGTGCTACGTTTACTGATGTCATGTTAATATAACTTAATTATAAGTCTTATTAAACAAACTTTTAATACATATCGCGTTAGAAATGTATCAACGATAAAAATTTCTGTTATCAACTTCCACATAGTTAGTGTGACAGTCAGACCTGTCCTTCTGGCAGACGAAGAGGTTGTTGCTGTTCTCTGCGCCGAGGAAGGTGTCATCATCAAGTATCTCGACGGCAGTCATCCAGTTGGGGCTGTAGTCGCGCGCGATCTCCTCGAAACTGCCCTCCATCTACACAATACATATATTTATTAATATTACAAATTTGATTATCGCCCGCGATTCGTCGAAACAGAAATTGAAAAAAAATGCCAAATGTTAACTGCTAATAAAATGGATGGATCCATTATATAAAATTCTTTAAAACCAAACATTTTTAACTTTGTTGTTTTTTTTTTAAAGTTGAAACAACAAAATAAAAACAGGGCGAGTAGATAAAACTAGGATTGGTTGATTTCACACATCTTTAAATAACTTCGACGTAACAAAATCGAAAATTGATTTACGGCAGAAATCGAACCTGGACGTGTAGATTTTCCGTTCAGATCGTATAAGAAAATAGTAACCTGTTTGTACTGCAGCAGAGATATGGAGCGCATGAGATCCCCCACGAGGATGAAGTCTCCCTTCACCTTCATGTAGAGAGCCACGATGTTGTTGAAGTGGCTGCACTCCAGCCGCAGCTCCTTGTCCGACGTCCACTCGAACAGGCGCACCTGACAACATGACATATTATTCTTGTCTCTTGTCATTCACTTTCTAAACTCAAATGGTATGTTTTGATACGGTTATTTGGTATTCAAGGGGTCGTTTATTAATCATGTCATGTTTTAACAACTTTTTGCCTAAAAGGGGGGGGGGGGTGCTTTCAATAACTTATGATGAGGTTGTAAACTACCCTAATACTTAAAATCACGTTTATTTTTAGTACAAAATATATTATTACAAGTCATAAGTCGGAAAATAATTACATAAATATCTTGCTTCATCACCACTCCTTGTGATGTATCGTGATTTGGATTACATCTCCCCTTTTTTGAGGCTCACGTGATTAATGGACGACTCCTAAACTCTTCAGAATTTTACTCGTTTCATTGAATCCAAGTATTGAATGTAAGTACATTTCTTGATGAGCTTGAGAAATTATAAAAAATATTAATTCTAGCAGTATAATATAAGTAAACTGACAGTGCTGTTGATGGAGGCGAGCAGCTTGCCGTTGAACTCCACGAGTGTGTAGCAGCCGCCCTTGATCTCCTTCTCCGCCACCTGACTCAGCCGACCCTCGCTCCAGTGGAACAGCAGGATGCGACCCTGGGACATTGCATCATCATACTATATCTACACACTTATAAATATAATACGGCTTTATATCAAATAGTTTAACAAAAAAAAGTGGATAAGGAAAAATTCCTTTTAGGTAAATTGATGCAATGGAAAACATCGTAAAGAACTCAAAATATTTCCCGCTTCCATCCTATTGCTTAAGTACCTTTTAAACAACATAATTCACGCTTGTAAACCCGAGGGGTAGGCAGAGATGACGACTATTTAGCACACTACTGACACACTTCCCTCGCTTCTCCATTCATACATCTACGCATTCATGTACCTCGGTTTCAGGTGGCTTTTAAAATCTTACTAATATTATAAATGCGAATGTTAGGACGGATGTTTGTTTGAAGGTATCTCTAGTCCGGTTGTATGGATCTCGCTGAAATTAAGCATAGATGTAGAACATAGTGTTAAAGAACATATAGGCTATTTATTAAGTTTTTTCTTGAATACCGCGCGGTCGGACTCCTAGACAATAGGCTGATAAATAGTTATATCTGTATGTATGGGTCACCTGTTTGGGTTCAGACTCCTCAGGGTTGAGTATGGCGGTGCCGACGGCGTAGTAGTGGTTGGGGTCGTCCCCCAGCCGGCACGACACCAGCGACATCGCGAACTCGCTCGTCATCAGCTGGTGCGCGTGCAGCACTGTCACATGACACAACACAATGTCAGTAAAACAGTCGTCGCTCAGTGGAAAAAGTGAAATAGCGAAGCAACCGTTGCTCTTAAACATCTGTATACAGAAAAATAATATTTCTCCTACATATGCATTTTCCAAGTACTTTTCCAAGAGAATTGAACTTATAATAACACTAAAATATGAATACTTATTCACAATTTCTCTTATTTTACTAATATTATAAATGCGAATATCCAGATGGATGGATGTTTGAAGGTATCTCCGGAATGACTGAACGGATCTTTATGAAATTTGACATACATATGAACAGAGTATGGAAGAACCCATAGACTAATTATGTTTTTTTTAAATTCGACTTAGTATCTATGGTTGTGAGTATCGAGAGAGATGCAGAGTCGATATGACCTTCAAAGGTATGTTGGTCGAGTATGAGGAGGTTGTGAGTCTCGAGGTCGAGTGCTGCGGGCGCGTGTTTGGGCGGCTGCGGGGGCGCGCCGCTCGCGCTGCCGGCCGAGGTGGAGGCGGAGACGCGGCTCGCCACCGCCGTGCCCAGACCTGACGACCACTCCACCTTGTCTATGCGCATTGTTATCACACCGAATGTCTGCACACACAAACAACAACATTTTATGTACTTATATTATTTACTTACACTTATTCAGAGATATCTACGACTAAGTTACTACTTAAAAAACGATTAAACTTCGCTAATATCGGCATGATCATGAGTAACACTAAATATACCACAGATATATAAAACAACGGAAAAATGTAAAAAAAATGAACGATGACTTTTTTCCAACTGTAGATACATTCTGGTTTTTGAGCTTTTTTTTAAAATTTCGAAACAGACAATAAGGAGTAAATTTATTAATTTTTTTTGGAGATCATATTTTTTTTAATTAAAATATTAGCAGATTTTTTAAGTAAATTCACTAATATTTCTTTTACCATTCCAACTAAGCTCTAGGCTTGTGCTAGGATATGGTTTACGACAAGAGTCGAATGGACCCCCGACCTCGTGGTCGGAAATCCGTACCCTTAACCATTAGGCTATTGACGCTTTATATTATATATATTTTTTTTAGCAAGTGAAGTATTTGTTACATAAATGTAATTAATAGAATAATATTGACCTGCGACACCTCCTGATATGCGATCCTGCGCGGCGTCTCCCCCAGCGGCACGGTGCGGATGTGCAGCTTCTGTATCTCATCTATTGTGCCGATCGTCACCGTGCTGTCCGTTGCTAGAGCTAAACTGTAACATCAATATAACATTTCATTCGCCACACTCAAACTCGTTAAGGTAGACCTTAGTGTACATTTCTCGAGACCAAAAACTCCGTTTGAGACATTTTTGTTTTGTCAAAAAGAATAACAGGGTGACATGTTTCATACAGAGATTTTGGTCTCGGAAACCTACCGTGAGGTAACAATTAACAATTCTGTGATAGGGTCTTATTATATTTAATATTTGAACTATCTAACAAAAGTAAAACTGTTCAATTTATTATTTGACAACTGAATTTATAGTCTATTACTAGAGACGTAAAGTGTAAATGATTGCTCTCACCTGTCCGGGTAAGCCTGTGCGTTGAGTGAGCACATGTGAGTGACCTCCTTGAGGTTGACATTGGAGAAGACCAGCTTGTGGTTGGAGGAGAAGATCACCGTCGGCCTGTCCGAGCACGCGAAGATATTCGTCGTCGACAGAGACCTAAATACAATTTACATTTTAATATCCGATGAAGCTGTAAATATTCATTTTTCATAGAAAAATCTAAACCCAGTTGTCAGCGCCATCTTTTGTTTATAAATATAAATCCGAAACATACCGAGGTATCTGTTTTGTGATTCACATATTCATTTATTTCCTTATTTTAAATATTTTTATATACATAAAAAAAACTTTAAAATTATTTATTAAACAATAAAAATTAAAATGAATGTGTAGGTTAGATTACGTAATTGCGTACGCGTTTACGGGGGACCTATTATGAATATTTGCCAGAAAATTTGATAAAGTAAACCAAATATTGTCATACAATTTTTTTCATATTTTATCGATGTGGTTACGACAAGGCATATGGAGTGATGTGTGTACGCGTGTACCTGAAGCTCCTGAGCACGGTGGGCTGCGTGCCGAGCGTGACGCGCTTGCGGCTGGCCAGCGCACCAGTCTCCCGGTCCAGCGTGAAGTAGAACATGGACCCGTCGCCCAGCGCGCACAGCAGGTAGCACACGCCCTCCAGCTCGCTGATCAGCAGCGAACGTGGTATTATCTCTGTATACACATACGTACATATTCACTCATCACATCACCGACACTAACTGTACCAACTTACAGAAGTCCTATCACGAAAACTTGCGAGAAACTATTCTTAACGTCATATACAAAATTCCATGATGCCATTACTAATACTTCGAAATTTCCATGATAGGCTCCCAGTTGTTTCTAATAGTCGAAGTGAGGTTACCTCCGGAGAGTTTCTCAGCGTGCAGCTGCGTGAGATCGGGCAGCCGAAGCACGCGCACAGAGATGTCTGTCCACAGACCCACGCCCAGCAGCGCCGCCTCCTCGCCCGGGCCCAAGTCCAGGCACGCCACCTCCTCCTCCATGCACACCTCTCTACACACACACACACACCAACACATATAATAAGACCAAATCTGAGAGAAAGGGCTATGTGTGAGGGTAATTCGTAGTAATATGGCAAAGTACAGACGAGAGTAGGTCGAGCCGAGCCTGTCCGATGGCCAGCAGGTAGATGCGGGGTCCGGCGGCTGCGACGACGCGCGTGCTGGAGCACGCCACCACGGAGAGCGCGCGCGCACCTTCCAGCCGCCACTGCGCGCCCAGCGCCCACCCGCCCGAGCCGCGGCACACCAGTCGCACGCCCTCGTCTGTCACCTAAAGATAAATAATCGTCTTTTTAGTTGGCACGTGGGATAGAAGAGAATTCTTATTACCTACGTGTCAGATTAAACGCTCCGTACTATAGATACACATAAAAAAACTAGATATACAGACTTACCTGGATAAGCGAGAATCTTGAGCAGTCACAACGGACGATCTCCATAAGCGAGAAACTCGGGTTAGAGAGAAACCTCTATAAGCGAGATAAATATTGTGGTCCCTTCAACTCTCGCTTATCCAGGTTCGACTATATATCTCTAAGAAAGACGGTTTAAAATGGATCGTACGACATTCCAGAACGATGAAACAACGGTAATAGGAAAAGTTATGTGAGAAAGAGATAGTTGTTAATCGAAATTTTCTCGCATTCCTTTTTTTATCTGATTTATAGAAAATATCAACGCAAAAAATAGACACTAAGTAACAAATAAAAATAAGTGAAGTTTCCATACATACTTGTATGACTTGATCATGGCAGACGTTCCCAGTGAAGAAAGTTTGTCGATCTGATACGAAGCCTTTGATTTCTGTTTCCTCCACTTCCTCGCCGTTCAGTGTTAACACTCTGACAATCATAACAATACTCATTAATATAATAATAGCAATAATAAAAAATTAAAAAGTAGAGGTACAGTCAAAAAATTACCACCTCCATAAGCGAGAAACTCGGTGAGAGAGAAAACTCTATAAGCGAGAAAATCGTGATCTCTTGGTCTCTCACTTACATATGACTATATATTTATATATAAAAGATATAATGTCACCTGGTCTGGCCCACAAATGACAGCACAAGTGTGTCATGGTAGGTGGAGTTTTGTGTCAGTGTGAGGGGCCACATGCCCTTGATGCCGGGCAGGTCGATGGATGCCTGCTCCTGTATGCCGATGCCGTTACGTATTATACGTAATGACCCCATCTTGAATGCACCTTGGAATAAACATTATATTAAACTATTTGCTGTGTTCATATATAATTTTGCTAGCTGCTTCCCCCGACTCCGTCCGCGCGGGATTAAAAAAAAACTTAATTAATAGCCTAGGTATTCTTCCAGACTATGTTTACATCTATACTGAATTTCAGCTCGATACATGAAGGCGTTTCGGATATACCTTCTAACAAACATCCATCCATCCATTTTATCTTTCGCATTTATAATATTAGGTAAAAGCTACCTTCTGTTTGAAACATTTCGCTTGTCTTGTCTCAAAATGATCTTTAGAAAGTTGGACCCTTGTTAATGGATATGTCATGAAATCCACCATTTCTTACCGGAGCACGTGATGAGCTGGTTCTGTCCCTGTCGCTCGAGGTCCACAAGACACATGTCCACGATGGGCGCGAGGCTGGTGAAGGTCTCCATGGGCTGGACATACTGGCCGGCGTCATCTCGCGCCGCAGACAGCCTCACCAGCGCCGAGTCTCCCAGACGAGACCCGATGAATACCACGCCATTGTCCAGGTACGTCATGCATTCCGGTATCGGGATGTCACCTGGGAACCACATTTGATTATACATAAGGAAGAACAAACTTTTTAATTTAGGTATTTAGAGAAAACTGCTAAGATAAGAGGTTGTTAAAGTTGGTTACTTTAAAAACTCCTTAGTGTAGATTTCTTCTGAACTAAGGGAGGACTTAACTCTGTTGCCTGATCATAGCATGGAGATTTGTCACTCTACTGTTATTAGGAATTATTCATAGATGCATCTCAAACAATAACTTAGTAACAAAATAAAATATGTTTTTTTTATTTTACTAAAATAAGATCTGTTAAGTGAGTGTACAACACATTTTGAGTATAAGAAATCATTTATTTTTATTCCTTATAGTATTTATAAGAAAAAGTGTATGCAACGATGTTACCTAGAAGTTCAACTTTAAGGTCCTTGACAGCCTGCGTGCCGTCCATCTTCTCCTGCAGCTCCAGCAGCAGCATGAAGAGGCGGCCCGCGATGTCACCCAGCAGGTAGCGCATGCCCTTGCCGTCCACGCGGCAGTAGCAGTTTATTGGTGTCATCTGATCATGTCACAGTTCATTATACACTTGAAGAATTAACTTATAACAGTGGTAGACAGTTCTGACCACACAGAAGACACGTCAAGAAGAAATTCCGCCTACAATCTGGTGAGCGTGCATGCGGAAGGCTTAACTTTAGTCCTTTTCCCCTTTCACCCTTTTGTTACAAGGAAGGAACGAAACGTGATGGAAATTGGACTGAAAAGGAAGAAAGGGAAGGGAGGAAGGAAGGAAGGAAGGAAGGAAAGGAAGGAAAGAAGGAAGAGAAGGAAGAAAGGGAAGGAAAGAAGGGAAGGTGAACGGAAAAGGGGACACATAAGGCAAATATTGCTTGTAAACTCAGCTATGATTTAACATTAATGGACATATTCGGGGAAATGTCAGTTAACAATAACAATTCAATTCAATGGAAAACTAGTCACAGCATAGGTAAGTACAAAATTATAGCTCTCATTCTGATAGTTTGCTGTATACAATTTCAAGTGGTTAGCAAATTTAATTCTCTGAGTGTACAATAATGTTACCTTTATTTGTGAAGGTGCAACAGCCACATAGCTCTGTCCATCATGATATACTATTGACTCTTGACCAATTACAATAGCGCCACCTACAAATTACAAAAATGTTAAATTAAAATAAAACAGACAGTTGTATGAAAATTGAATTCTTAACTAAATTAGTGGAATATTAGTTGTTTGATAGCAGCGCCTCCTAGTCTATCAATTTGTCCATACACATCCATTTGTAAATGTTAATTATTGCGGAGTAAATCAGACTAATATTATAAATGAGAAAGTTTAGATGTATTTTTGTTTGAAAGTATCTCCAGAACGGCTCAACAGATCTTGATGAAATTTGTCACAGAGTTTTAGAATATAGCCTAGAAGAACGCATATGCTACTTATTAAGTTTTTTAAAATCTGCGCAGACGGAGTCACGGGCGACTGCTAGTTTTACATACCTAAAGGACTTGGTACTGGTATCAAGATAGATGCCTCTGTTTCCACATTGTCTTGTTTCCACGGTATCTTCATGAATTCTTTATCTTTTGCATTGAGTTCATGTGTCTGAAAATTATAATAATTTTAATAATATTGGTTTTATAGACCTCAAGATTGTTGAGTTATATTTGAGCATTTAATTATTTAAGATATATATAATTTAAAAAAAATGGATGTTTGTTCGCAGGTATCTCCAATACAGCATCATATATCTCCATGAAATTTGACATAGAGGTAGAGCATAGTCTGGATGAACACATAGGCTATGTATATTTACAAAATGACTTACTTTTATATGTCTTCCGTTGAGATCTTGATGTATAAGTATTAAGGTAGGATTGGCACAACCATGCAGAAATTCTAAATCATAAACATTTAACTCTTCCAATCTATAAAGATAACAACAAATTAAAAAAACCTATAATAATCAAATCAATCTGAAGAGATTGTTTGGTAAACCTACTGAGTTGGACAAAGTATTGTTTAATAATTAAGTTCCTAATCAATAACTCAAAAATGTATGGACACTTACTTTCAATATGTCATGTGCATGTCACATATTTGTCCTATACATTTTGACACATTTTTTCGATTTTACTAGCAATAATCATCATCAAGCAACAATCAGTCAAATGTTACATTGTCTAGACCCGCTGATATATTTAGAAAACCATGTACAGAAAACCTGAGCACGCGAGAATTGGACAGCTAAGATACCTCTACCACCGAGAGTCATTGTCCAGTCATAACAACCTCTATAAGTAAGAAACCTCTACCAGGGAGAAAAATATTATAATTCTTTGGAGTCTCTCTTATCCAGGTTCAATTCTATTAAATTAGCTTTTATGAAAACATAATAAATTACCTTAGACTAGCAGCTTTAAGCTCTGTGGAATCTTTATCCAATGGTATAATCTTAAATAATCCATCATACAGCCTCAAACCGATAACCCTAGCTTGTGGGTCGATCACCGCCAATATGCCATTCTCTGAGGGCTTTCCGATGCGGTCGGCAACATTACCATGTGCTCGTGTCACCACTTCCAAATCACCATTAGGTCCTGTCCTCCACTCTAATATCATTGCATTATATCGAGCTGTTAGAATGAATACTAAATCTTTCTTTTCATACTGCAAACAAAGTTTATTTTCATTATTGATTAATATAAAAAGAATAGGTGAAGTAACAAAGTGTTGAATGAAATAAAAGTGACTAAATATTGAAATATTTTATGACAAATACATGTATAAACTTATTGTTGTCTTTACCTTTTAATGGAAGTAAATGTGATAAATATATTACTTTAGAATTAAATATTTATACTCTTTATTGATCACAAATTAATTTATCACTAAATTATTAAATTAAAATGTACAAAATACATTATAGAAATTGTTAGACATACTTACTGGAGGTCTGAATAATTTCATTTTAGCAACTTTTCCATATAGACCAACTTCTTTCATAGGTCTCAAGCCCTCCGGAGTCACCAGGTACATTTCTAGACGTGACAGTTTAGCCACCAGCAAGTTGAGGTCTGTAGGGCTTGTGAAGTTGCCTGTTTTAAATTGATGAAATTAAAGAACTGTTTATCCAGATAAAAGAGGATGTTTGTTCATTGTACATAAAAAAAAATATTTATCACTATTTTAATCTAATTGGAATAAATAACTTGCAATTTCTTTGATCTTGACATAAACTACAATAAGCTTATTTTTATACACCTTGCATATATGACTAAAACCATAGTGTTTTATATATATAAATATTTTTGTGAGAACACAAACTATCTAGCAATTACTTTTTTTAAGTAAAAATAATAAATTGCTAAAAATTATCATCAATCAATTATACTAAAGTAACTATTTATTAACAATCTCCATAAACAGAAACATGGCAATGAATAGTACGAGTTTTTATCGCTTGCTAAATATTGTGTAATGTTTATTTGTTGATGATTATAATTTTCACTTGTTTCGCGTGGTATGTAAACCTTCTGTGTACAAGAATAATTGAATTATCTATTAATTGCTAAAAATAATAGGACCTAGCCTACCCACCACACGCTTTGATTTACGATTTAATTCGCTAGATAGGACTTTAAGCAAGTCGTATACATGCCATGAAATACATAACACACACAAGAAATTGGGAATATATCAGACTTTGAATAAAATTACCAAAAAAGTCATAGGTCAACTACAACCATAACATCGTAGATTTTATAATATACAAAGTCGAAGACATTGAAAAGATAAACTCAAAAGCTGTCTCTAGATTTTAAAACCCTAGATAATTATTCGTTAGGGATTATTAAAGTAAAATAAGACTTAAATAGTAAAAAACTAGTTAACCTCAATATGACAAAAACATCAAGAATTTCAATAACACTTACCTGTAATGCATGCTGTAACTGCTGTAGCTTTTTGTGCTGTAACAACGTAGTGATAAGCCATGGTGATCCTTTTTAACTTAGAACCTAATTTTTATTAATAAACCATTTGAATAACACAATACACAATATTTGACAATAATATGCCGCCTGCTCCAAAGAGTATAAATTGATAACCAAAGTGTAAAAAGGCCTGCTCTATTTACTTTTGTTTTTGAATAAATTGTTTATGGATTTTTTGAATCACTTCTGATTGTTCTACAGAACGCGGAATCGATTTATTTTGTCGGCATTGGAGTGAAATTTGCTAAGCTGCGTTAGTTCGCGCATCCTTGGCATCAACGCAAATATAAGCTGGAGTAGCCGCTGGTGTTGATGGCTGACGGCAAAATGGACACTTTGTCGTCATGCCATTAGAGGAGACTTGTCTTAAGTAAATAGACGATGTAACTTGTAGGTGAAGAAGATGCGGTGCACACAAGCGATTCGACCCGTATAAACCGAGGGTCGGTGAGGCTTTGGGTAGTGCTAGAATTATTTGACCTCAATTTCTCTACCAGCATTTTCAATTTTAGAAGAATTCTTATAAACATTTAAAGTAAGCGCCTGCAAGTTTTGTATAATTTACGATATTTTACTTACTACATGATATCCATTGACAGTCGGTATGACATCTTAACCAGTTTATTTTTGTAACCACAACTTAAGTTGGAATTTGAATTCCAACCGTCAAATACTATCGGGTAATTGGGAAATATTATAACATAGTTGAAATAAAACGATTCGTATAATTCTTAAAGATTATATTTCCTCTTACAACCTATATTTACAAATGTGGATACGTTTTTATATTCATAAGTATTATGAATTAAAAAGATTGTATAATAAATCAGTCTTGATGATCGTTAGGCGGCACGCTCTCGAACAGGACTTGAGTGAGGAATGTGAATTTTCCTGCAAAAACAAGTATAAATTATCAAATAGCACTAAACAAGAAGATAATAAATATACTCTCAAGGTAAAATCTCATCATCTGTATTACAAAAATTGTAAACTAACATCAACAGTAAGCGCCAATAGCCTAATGGTTAAGGGTACGGATTTCCGACCACGAGGTCGGGGGTTCGAATCCCGCCATTCGACTATTGTTGTAAATCATGTCCTACTCCAAGCACAGAGCTTAGTTGGATTGCTCCAAGAAATATTAGTAAATTTACAAAAAAAATCTGCTAATATATAAAAAACAAAGTGTTAAATCGCAGAACATAAAAAATTTATAACTACAATCAAGACTTTTTTTTCGATACTTTCCAAGCTAAATAAATACTTACTAAGAAAAGCAGTCGGAGTCTTCCTATAATACACAAAGACAGTGTAAACTCCAACACCCAACACGATAAATCCTATGGCCATTAAATATTTAACAGACGGATCGTGTACAATAGGCAGAATGGAAAGAAATATGGCGACGACAAGAACAAAGCATGGGACTAGAGTGGGAACTCTGTATGGACGTGGTTTATCAGCCTGTGTTCTTCTTAACACCAGCAATGCGACCATCGCCAGCCCGTAGAAGAACCAGAGGAACCAACTCGCAAACTCTATCAGAGTACGAATGTTGCCCACTAAGATGAACACTGATGTTAGTAAAGCCTGGAACAAACATATAAAAATGTTAAAAAAATATTTTTTGGCTATTCAGTAATACCACAACATTTTATTTGTTCAAATACATATTTATATAACAAAAGTTTGAATAATTATTGCGAAAGTTTAGATGGCTGTATGGTTGGTTGTTTGACTAATTAAGTTTTTTTTTTAATTTCCAAGGCTATTATGTCATAAATATGTAAACAATATGTATATTGTTAGTGTACCTGTAAGGCGACAGCGGGCGCGGGCGTGAGGCGCTTCAAGTTGACGTAGGAGAACACCTCCAGCATGTGTCCGCCGCGCGCCGCCGTGTAGCACACTCTGCAAGACATCACATACACATAAACAATATATTCATATAACTTTGCCCGTGACTTCGTCTGCGCAAAATTAAAAAAAAATAGCCTGTAATATGCCCGCTTAGATTAACTACCTTCCCGTCAAAGTCGGTCCAACAGTTCCAGAGATTGGCCGGAATAAACGCTGCCTTGCGAACATACATATAGACAAAATTTTTTAAATTGGTTTTTCATTATAATTGGTTATTGTTAAAACCGTTATCAATATAGTAAGTTATATATGCTTTAATTATGTAGTATGCATAATGTAATTAAACGCTTTAATAATTTATTTTTCGCACCTGGTAACACCGAACTGCACACTCATAGCGCAGCCAAATGTCGCGATGGCAACACCTAGGGGTATAAGAAAGGCGGCGGGACCGAGCACACGCGCGCCAAACGCGACTGCCACCGCCGGCACTGATGTCATCTCTGCATAGCTCAGTACTGTCATATATGCCACATTCATGAACACATACAACCCAGTTATGAGAGGCACCGCTATGGATATACTTAGAGGGACGTTCCTAAAAAATAAATTATTTACAATTAATACCTGACAATAAAAAAATATATATTAAATGGTCTTTGTGTTCTTCCAGACTGTTCTACATCTATGTGAAATTTCATCAAGATCCCTTAAATGGGTCTGGAGATATCTTCCAAAATCTATCCATCTAAACATTCCTATCCAACTGAAAACACTTGGTTGCTTAATTAAAACTAGACTAACTGGTCAAAATAAAGACACTTTTCCAATGAACCGCTAATGCACTTAGTGGAGAAGCGGCTTAAATTAGTAATAAGTAATTAGTAATAAATAATAATTAAAAAATACATATGTCACTTCTAGTATAGCCGTTTCCCGCAATAGATTTACGATCAGTAGATTTAAGTGAGATTTATTGGTTGATTAGCTAAATAAATAATTCCTAGTTATTCAAATAAGACCGGACTCAAAACTCTATTAAATATTTGTAAATAATTAGTTAACAGCAATACTAACACGCCAGGGTTGATAATTTCCTCAGTAACAACTGTGACACTGTTCCAACCGTCATACGCCCACAGGCCTGAGTACAGCGCCAGTGCAATCCCGCCAGGACTGGTGGTACTGCCCTCAAAACCTTTGCTTAAGTTGTATGTGTTGCCTGGATAAAAAAAAACATATATAAGTGCCAGTTCTTCATACAAGGTAACGTAAAATAAAAAGGTAAATAAATGAAAAATAGATACTTGGCACTGAATCCTCAACACTCCAGAACTAAAATGTTTGTGTTGAAAGCACAATGAGTAGTTAAGTGTACACAATTTAATACTAAAAAATCTTTGCTAAGTGACTATTTACTGTAATCACCAATGACTTTGAGCATAGCCATTAATTATGAACAAAAATAATTGTGAAATGAAATGTTTACCTTTAGAAATTTCATATATTCCTCCACCGATGACAATGAGACAGGCAAATACTTTGCATATGCCGAATATGTTCTGCACTTTGACGAATAACTTGACACTTGTTATATTGATGTATGTCATTACAACTGAAAAAGAAAAGTTCATTTAGATTTCTATTGGATACTAGCTATCGCGAATTGGTCTCCGATGAATAAAAAAAAACTATATTCTACATGTATACCAAGTTTCGAGAACCAGCCGTTCTGAAGATACTTTAAATAAACATCCATCCATCTCAACATTTGCATTTCTAATATTAGTAAGATGAATTTTACATCTCTCTGATGACTATACCCATATGACTATGTTTAATGTTTTGGTGTTAAAAATTTCTTACATCCCCTTTCTTTAGTTTTTTGATAACATCAGCAATTATAAATCAATTCTTTGCAATGTCCTTAACTTAACAGATCATTTAAATTTTTTAATGAAATTTTGTTTTCCCAGGTCTTGTAAATTCTCTTTTTACACACAATTTGTCATTTACTTATTTATTTAATAAAACAAATATCTTAATTCTATATTTTATTTAAAAAAAAATATCACTTGATTTATTACAACTAGAAAAATAACATTTTGTACAAATCAATAAACTAATTTAACTTCTGTATTGTTGTATGGATTTGCACTAACTAAATTTGCATCCATTAATAGTTCAATAGCTGGGAAATTTTCCGCTGTGCATGGTATGTAGCCGTTAGAATTAACATCTAGTCTTGCTCTCATCAATTCCTGAAACAAAATTATTGTTTAAAAATGTAACTTAAAAATAGCGGACTGAAAATCAAAGAATAAATCATATATCGTTTAAAAACGGCAAAATCCAGCTATCATAGCAACATTGAAAATATTGGCATTTTTCTGTTGTAAAATCAGATTGTCTTAGTATCCAATATTGTTTCTAAAACTAATCTTTGGTATCTATGGTTTTGTTCACCATAATTTATATTAAGTAGTTTCTACAGTAAATGTTACAAACATTAATAATGAAATATCCTTAACAAAAATTGAAAAATACTTACAGCTAAAACCTCTGTGATAAGTCCGGAACATTTAGGAAACAGTGAATATATGAGACCACGGAGTTCTTGTTTTAACACATGGAATTTTTCTTTAGCTTTCTCTATATGTTGTGGTTGTATATCCTTCTTCTCTATTATAGGACTGCTTCTTACTTCTTTTGCTGTTATAACTAAGTTTTGTAGTCTATGAAAAGATTAGATGGTTATGTAGTACTTAAATAAACAATTAAAGACCAAATAAGTAAAGAAACTAAATAAACAGAAAATTCCTTTTATATACGGGCGTGATAGTACTTGAACCATGAATATATAGTTTACCTTTCTATTTCTGTATCTGCATCGTGAATTAAGCCCTTGGTAAATGCTATATGTTTTTCAACATCTTCAGTTCTTTCCTTCATTTCAGATAGGAATTGGCTTGTTATTAAATTGTTGTCCGTTGTAATAGTAGTATTCGATGTTTCCAACTCTTTTCGCAGCCCAGCCACATAGTTTAAAGTTTTGTCTTTATTCGGAATGAGAACTTCGTTGGGTGACGATTCAATTGCTTTACAAATATGAACACTCCTTTCCCGTAAAGATCTTAATTCTTGTGATAATACATCTTTTGTTCTAACGCTAGAATCTACTTCCATCCTGAAACTAAAACACACAATGTATTTAATCTTTTTAAATTAAATCTGATGTAATTTAAATTTATAAGATAAATA